GCTGATTGGTTGCCATGCACAGCTGCTCCAGATTTTGTCTGCTCCAGTTTTGATAAATTCTCTTAGTATTTCTGATTTTTTTTTCTACCTACACATAAAAGCATTACAAGCGTAGATATAAAAACAAATGAAAGAAATTGAACTAAATTTTAAGCTTTTAGGGGCTTGCATTTTAAAGGACATGTTTGTTGATCATAACAACTAATAAAGTATACTAATCGCAATCAGCAGTAAAACATTTTCTTGATCCCATCATTTTAATACATAAGCTCTCTAGTATCTTAAGAAAGCTATATTTATTTAATAAGATATAATATAAATGTAATTACATACAATTTGATAGGTGTAAGGACTGGGCATGTGCAGCAACTTGTAGTAAGTAGTCCGATTTGAAATGTCATAAATTTTAAGTTGTCAATCCCAATGAAAGATGATTTCATTGCAACTGCACAAGAACCCCTGATAGTGTTCATATAATGTGTCCAACCCCTGGCCAAGCCACTATGCTGATAGCTTGGTCATCTTGAAAAAATAAGAATAAAGTATTATAAAATAAGGAATTAAAGAGTAAAAACGTTTCTGTTGTTCTGTTCTGTTATTTAGCATGGAGTAGGAAAGTGTCTCATTTACGGAGCTTTCTGTTTACTTCCTGTCCTGCAGACTCAACAGGAAGTGAGAGGATATCTTTCCATTGTGAGGGATATCTCATCTTGGACAGTTGTCACAAAAGTTAGATTTTCCCTCTATTCCTGGTTTGGTGGCAATGCAAAGTTTTATATTTACCCATCACTTTCATTTCCAGGGACTAATAGATAGTGTGAATCTACAGGGGCACAGACAAAGCCTGGTGTTCTGGTAAACATAGGACTACTAGGAGTATTGTGGTATGTACTCAAACGTTTGTGGAGGTTTGTAGGCTGCTCTCTAGTCCTAAGGACCCTTTGGAACGGTCCTAGTTCCATTCCCCTGGTGAAGTCTAGAAAGCTTTATTTGTATTCAGAAGGAAAAGCCATTTCAAGGGCTATAAGGGACCCCCTTCATCAGGGCTACAAAATACACACAATAAAAAAATATTGTCATTGACAGATTAGTCTATAAAATACTTGCATATTAAAGTTAACCAACATAGTATAGTGTATAGTATCGTGAGTATAGTATTTAAGAAATACAGTACACAGCTCTTTTAGGCCATCTAAGTCCTGATGGCACGTCATTTAATCAAGTTTATAATAAATTCATAGTAAACTGTAGACTTCATAATAAGTAGTACTAACATAAAATACTTAATACTTCTTAAATACTAAATTAAAAAAAAAACAATATAGTATCATGATAATAATACAGAATAATGTAATAATGTGGCACAAAATAGTATGAATAATAAGAATGTTACCATAACAATTTACCATAACACAAGCAGGTTGGCCTGCTGAAGAGTTGACAAGCACAGCTCTAAGAAGACAAAATTCCACCACAACCTCCTTATGTATACAAAAGGAATAAACCTTATTATTTCAGTAGCTGGATTCAAAGTGAACCTGAACTCAAAAAGTGAATATCTAGATCTGTTAACTGTGCCTAAGCAGCAGCCTGAAAAAGTAACCTTTTGTTTTCAGTTTTCACTGAATAATAGCAGTGAACGTCCTGTGTCTAGACTTTCCACTACCCTCAAAGCTGTTTATCTGCAGTGTGAGATCATCTAGAACAGGGGCTCCCAGACTGTGGGTCGCAAGCCCCTGTTGAGTGGGTCGCCGCATGCCTTCTGCTAAGCTAGGTGAGCGGCTCCTCACACTTGTAGTCCTCTATAGTTGGTGATATTCTGCATTGCTGTGTAATGTATTAGTGGGATTTGTAGTCCTTTCTTCTGGGGTGTGATCTCAAGGGGAACCACGCGGCAGCAATCGTAATCCCAGTTTCTCTGTATTAAAAAAAGTGCAGCGAGAGATTGGCTTTGTTAGACAATCAGGAAGATGCCCCGCTGCCCAGCTTCCTGATTGGCTGGGAAGCTGGTTTCATGTTCCGTTGTGGCACTGCATCCTGGCTTCCTGACCAATGAGAAAGCCGGGTGGCAGGTCATGACCCACTGCCCTTCTTCCTGATTGGTCAGGAAGCCGAGTTCACCGGTAGTGTTGCATGGGTGCATGGTATCTCCCTCTGACATGCAGCTCCAGTATCGGAGCATTTGGGCGAGTATGAGTACTCGTCCAAATGCATTTTACCGCTGGGGGTCACCACAACGTGGCAAATGTTACCAAGGGGTCCCGGCCCTAGGTTGAGAACCACTAATCTAGAGCACTGTTGCCTTTGGCTGCTGGTCTCACGACATATGTAGCGAGATTTGGTGAAATCACTGCTGTGTTGCTCACTATTCTCCTTGCTGGAGAGGAAGCGGTATCTGAACCTGAAGTTCAAGGATCCTGAAGTTCAAAGATCTTCCTGCTTCTGCTTGATTCATTCTGTGAGTATGTACTCCCTCCACCTCTTCTGCTGCTTCTTTACTATTACTCCGCCAGTTATCAGGGGGACAGCTCTGACACGAGCAAGCATTCTACCAAGAGGTCGACCTCCACACAGAGATAAAGTGTGGAACAAGTTGGAAGAAGTCAGTAATAGGGAATCGATAAGCTAAAGACAGACTTCAGGCAATACATGTGACTAATTCTTTTCTCTCTGCTTACCTTTTAGGGAACACCATTCACATTCTTTAAAGAAGAACTTTAAAGAATTTTTAAAAAATTAACTCTGGCAGTGGGGCTAGCCGTGTGAGACACTAAACTGCAAGGGTTAAGTGCTCCTTTTGGTCTAGGGGGGAAATTAAAAAAATATTCATCCAATCCTCGGTCACACATGGCCACTATACCGGTCCCCGCAGCCTTTTCTCCCCTGGGCTACAGCGCTGTAACCTGACGTCATCACGTCTAATGCAGCTCCATTAGACGTGAAGACACCAAGGGACACACCACAGCCGGAGTAGAGGGGGAGAGAAGTGAGCGGTCATCCCCACAGGACCGGGGATCGGATAAGTATATCTTCTTTATTTTCGCACCTAGACCAAAATGAGCCGTTATCCCTTGAAGTGTGGGGGTAGCTCCACTGCAAAGGTTAACTAGTATTAAGGTAGGTTTGATCACTATAGAAAGAGTGGCTTTATACCTTTCCAAAATACCCTCAAATCTTCATACTTTAAACTCTGCTTAACTTCCCTTAATATGTCTCCTTCATAGTATCCAGCAAAATGACAGGTGCTCTTTAATGGAGGGAAAATGGCATCCTTCAACTCTCTATAAATTCATATACACAATATTCATCACTCCACTCTTTTCTGTTTGGGTTTGGAGATGATCCCAATGTTAATTATTGCAGACACATCATTGTTAGCACAGTCCCCAAGTAACAACAGTAATGAGCGGTGCTATGTGACAGGGGATGCACAAGAGACTTCTAATTGATAAGATACAGGCAATATCAGCATAATGAAACTTTACAATGGAGTCTGCATTGCAGATGTGCTAGAATTGTTTCTGTCACAGCCTCTGAGGTCCCAGGATAAAATGTAATTTGCTTTAAACAAGAAAGCCTTCTCTTCAGTTATAAATGACTAAAAGGGGATTCGAAGGGAACTAGTGTCAGCTGAGCACGTGCAAGAATTTGGTTTAGCAGAAACCCTTAAAAGACCCAAAGACAGAGTAAGTGCTGCAGGTTGCATTAAGCTGGCCATACACCTTACAATTATCTGCAGATTTTCTGTGGTCAGATGGAAAAGGTGCAACAGATTCCTCCATCTACACTTGACTGTGTGGATGGAGTAATCTCCACCTGGGCCAATCTGTTGCACTTTTTCCATCTGACCACAGAAAATCTGCAGATAATTGTAAGGTGTATGGGCACCTTAACACCTATCCTGTGCCACCCACCACACCCCTAATAAGTCTATGAAAACAGTTACCATTTGCAATCCATAACTACACCCTGCACATGACAATGCCCCGAGTCTTTTGAGGCTTTTTGCGTCTGGACATTGCATTATCAATCAGGGACAGGGAGCATGCACATATCCATTTTCAGCACATAAGGGCGCTTAAAGGAGAACTATGAGATGAGTGATTTCCACTCACCTCATAGTTCTAAGCCGACCGGTGACAATGAGACTGTCACAGGTCGGCTCAGTAGATCGGGAGGTGAGGGAACACGGTCACCTCTCGATCCTGTCACGGCTCTATGCCGTGACAGGGGGAGGCGCTAGATTCCCCTCTCCCCGCTCCGATCTGCCATCGCTGACTGGCGGAACGGACGGGGGAGGGGGCGGGTACAGCTGGCTCTGCCTCTAGATAGGCAGAGCCAGCTGTCATTCACGCAGCTGGGTGGATCCCGTCATCTACGTCGGGATCCGCTCCGGGTGCGGCGTCTCAGTATACCGCGAGCTGTAGCTCGCGGTATACTGAGCTTAGGGTAACGGGAGGACGCTAGTTTGTGTCCTCCCGTTACCCTAAGGAGAACTATGGGGAAAAACACTGACCCCATAGTTCTCCTTTAAAGAGACACTAAATGGGCAAAGTCAGAAAGCCCCCATCAAGGTATACTCACCAATCTGCACTTCCTTGCTGCCTACCAACTTCATTAGAGCCCTCCCTCTTGAGTGGGGTATGGTATGGAGGCCTCTGGGGCACTCACACCATCCACCAAGGCATGCTCTGACACCGATCGACATTAGAACTAACTCATGGTGAAATTCTGCAGGTGGAGCTAAAGCCTGGATCATTGAATATACCTTGCTGTGGGGAGTGGGTCTATCAGGAGGACCTGAATAGGCTGGTGACTATCTTTTTAAGGGTGCAATGGGTGACATGGAGGCAATACTGTGAAAGAGGTAGAAGCTGACAACTTTCTAAAAGCAACAAACTTTATGCAATTTTAGCTGCCCGGTGTTAAAGAAAAGATTAGATACATATATTAAGAAGTAGCAAGTCCCTTTAAATAAAAAATCTGATTGGCTCACTTACCTCTTCCCATTGATGAATGTATCTGATTAACCTTGAAAGTCGCAGTAGGCGCAACAAACTGAGGATTTTTGTAAATCTCACAATGCGGAGAGCTCTGGCCGTCTTGTACACTTCCGAATCCATGCCTTTCTCGACAATGAGAAAGATATAATCCACTGGGATGGATGAGATGAAGTCAACAACAAACCAGCTCTTCAAATAACTCATCTTGATGACTTTTGGGTCTAGTATAATCTCAGAATTGTCTTCAATGACAATCCCAGTTCTAAAATTCATGAACAAGTCAAATAAAAAAACGGTGTCGGACGCCACATTAAATATAATCCACGGTGTGGTCGTCTGCTCTGTGAAGAAGGTTATTCCAACCGGTATTATAACAAGGTTCCCCACCATCATAATCAGCATTATCAGGTCCCAGTAAAACCTGCAAAAAAAAAAAATCAAATAGCAAATAATTAAAAGGAAGAGCTCACATCATGTACTTCCTCGTTTCATTTGCATGATAATAAGGAGAACAAGCAATGTATTCTACATGAATGCATTATAATGAATCATTTTCCTGAGCAATCAGAATCCCCCAGCTCATTCTTCAACATTTACAGCGTCTTTGTGAATACATAAAATTAGTGGATCTTGCTGCGGCTTGGTGTCTCATTAAACTATACAGAAAATACTTTGATAATAATGTGCGCTTGAATTTTCTACTTTTTATCTTTTTTTGTGCAATAACAGCTTGAAGCTCCAGCGACCTCAAGCAAGAGATAAGTTAAGAGCCCGTCTACTCCCACACCTCCAAAAGAGGCCCAACCACTCCACCTATTTGACTTCCAACCATACCTCACAGCTTTCTGAGATGGAAAAGTGGGTCATCTTTTAGCACAAATTATGTAGGCAAAAGACACAATTACATGGACTATGAAGAGGTCATATGAATAAAGAAGTTGGGTTAACCCACAAACTTATTTTTTTTGCTAATACTTTTCTTTTATACTGGCCTTTTAAAATAACAGATACAATCATTTAGAGGTTGGATGAAAAACACTTGGTAGTTATATAGTACAATTTTTAGGGTAACAGAAGCGATTCGGTTCCAAAAGAGGGACAATCCCTCGAAATCAGTGACATGCGGTACCTTCGGTGCTGGGTGGGGCATTCCCCAGCCCCGTCCCCAGCTCATTGATGCCCAGCCCCCACAACCTGTCTAAGCCCCTTACCCAGGCGGCCGAAGTCCCAATCCCCAACCCTGATCACCACGCTATGTGTGGAGGAGGGAGGGAGGAGGAAGGAGGAGACAGGGAGGAGCCTCCCTGTCCCTCATTTGCTTGTCACTGGTGAGGCATCGAGATCGATGTCCTTAAAGTTTTTTTCATATTTCTTTTTTTTGATTGGACAGCTTGGAGCAATGGGGCTTTGCCATTGGTCCAAACCATCCACAGAGCTCAAGCCACTAACAGAGTAGAGGCTGTTGCAGCTCTGGCCTCACTATGTTAGGTTACACAAGCAATGGGGAAGCCTGTTGCTGTGTAATCTAACTTAGCTGTCAAAAGCCAGATGCAGCGCCGCCTGTAATTTAAAGGCAGCGCTCCATCCATGACAGGTTACCCAGCGGGGAGGCTTTCCCTGCTGTGTAACCTGTTACAAGCTGCTCTGAATGGAGAAAAAGCTGTCAGCTTCAGTCTTGAAGCTGACAGCTGTTTCCTGCATAATACTAGGTGAGGCTCTGCCTAACCTGCCTCCCCTGACCGCAGGTCCCTGCTCGAAATGAGTGACAGAAAATATGCTTCCAACACTTTCCCTAGTATCCAGCAACCCCACCACCTATAACTCCTTCTGGACTGTGGAGGTGGAGTGTCCCTACAATCATCCCCTATATTCACAGCTAAAAAGGATTACATGACAGAGGTCATAAATGATTCCACAATTACATACACATTTCTATTCGCAAGAAGACATGGCTTGTCCTAGAAAATCATGTAGACTTATTCAATATGTCACTTTCTACTGCCTGAAAATAAGCGACAACTATTTCAACTCATCTTATGCATACCTTATGCATAAGATGAGTTGCATATGCATATACAGTATGCATATTTCATGCACCTTACATAAAAATATCCAAGACAGAAATGTCTAGTTTTCCTTTAAGTCCCCTTTAAGCCAGAAAAAGGTCCTCACCAATTTTTCAATAAAATATTTAAATAATGAATTTACATATCAGAGCAATATTTCTATAACACAAAAAAAGAAAAGGGGATCCAGCGTTTCTTGGTACGTAGGAGGTTGAGGACTGGAGCTGCTGATTGACGAGGACATCTTGTAGGAAATTTATTTTCAATCGAGTAACCGTGACACTGCTAGTAATTAAAATGCTTTCAACAAACTACAGAGTGGCAATTACCATTGCTAGAGACGTTTCCTCTGTACTGAGTATAAAGTAATTTTAGTCGCCTTTGAAACATTTGATTGCGTCTACAATCCTACTTAGCATGCGTCAGTTGCCGCAGAATGCACACTTCAAATGCAATACATCATGCGGAAAGCAGGTACAATTTTCTGAATACACTTTCAGATACACAGATGTTAATGTTAAAAATGAGTGTTTCATTTGGCATAGGAGCTTCTGCGCTATAACTTTTTAAATTCAAATATTTAGCATGGACAACTTTTATCATGTGTTTTGTATGCTTCAAACCAAAACAAAAATTGATCACACCTAAAAATGTAATGATTGCTAACTTTTATCCTCAATGCAAATATGTTTAAGTCATATTAAAGTCAAAAGGTTTTTTAAGCCATTTCAAATGCTGATGAAATCACTCACAATGGATGTTGCTCCTTCATGTTTAACATTTTTAGTCTTCTGATTCCCTAAGTGGAGGACCGAATATCCTGTTTAAGGCCTCATTCACACCAGGGCAACAGCGTTTCAGAGCTGTTTTTGCACGTTTTATTAAGCACATTTTTGCATGATTTTAATGCACGTTTCAGCGCATATTACAGGCGTTTTCTGTTCATATGTCAGTGCATTTTTGAAGCTTGTTTTCAGTTATCAAATGAGAAGCAGGCTCAGCTGCTGAAAAGCGCATAAAAAACGTGTGGAATTGCGCAAAAACTTGCTGATCGGTGCATTTCCATTGAAGTCTATGGAGCAAAACGACAAAAGAAGTTCGGGACTATTTCGAGCGATAGGCGTATTTGTACGCATGAGTCCTCGCCGCTTTCGCGTTAACCGCCCGCATAGGAATGTATGGTATTTTATTTGCTTGCATTTCAACAAAAACCGCCCTGGTGTGAAGGAGGGCTTAGGGTCGCTCCTTTCCCTTGCTGATTTCTATGGAGCCACCCTTGTGTGCTAACCCTGAGAGTTAGCCATTAAAATGTATCTAAAGTAAAAACTTTTTTTTTTCAGTTATAAATATAATTGGTAATTTTCATTTTTTATGAAAACATTTTTGCTGTCTAATTTTTTTTCCCCTTCTTGTCCTGGGACCGCAAGTGAAAGTGAGTAGAAATATCTTCAAAATGAGAAGAAATCCCTTCTTAGGCAGTTGTCACCAAAACTAGATGTTAACCATGGCCCCTGATTTGTACTAAACACAATACATACACAAGTTATGGTTTGTGTACATTATACTCCTGACCATTGCACTGTATATGCTATGTTGTACATTATGCTCCTGACCCCTGTACTGTATACACTATGTTGTACATTCTACTCCTGACCTCTATACTGTATACACTATGTTGTACATTATACTCCTGACTGATGCACTGTATATGCTATGTTGTACATTATACTCCTGACCTCTGTACTTTATACGCTATGTTGTACAGTCTACTCCTGACCTCTGTACTGTATACGCTATTATGTACATTATACTCCTGCACTGTATATGCTATGTTGTACATTATACTCCTGACCCCTGCACTGTATATGCTATGTTGTACATTATACTTCTGACCCCTGTACTGTATACACTATGTTGTACATTATACTCCTGATCCCCTACACTGTATACTCTATGCTGTACATTATGCTCCTGACTCCCTACACTGTATACTCTATGTTGCACATTATGCTCCTGACTCCCTACACTGTATACGCTATGTTGTACATTATACTTCTGACCCCAGTACTGTATACGCTATGTTGTACATTATACATCTGACCCCCTACACTGTATACTCTATGTTGTACATTATACTCCTGACCCCCCCCCCCTATACGCTATGTTGTACATTATACTCCTGACCCCCCCACCGTATACACTATGTTGTACATTATACTCCTGACCCTGACTGTTGGGTTAAAGCACTATAAAAAGACTGTATGGACTAAAAGTTGTAACTAGCTAAACAAATGAACAAATGCTTACTTGGCTACATTTATGTCCTTACTATGATACATCTTCCTGAATATACAGTATTTTGCATTTGAAATAGTACAGTAGGTAACAATATACCTCTTGAAGAAACACCCATTTTAAATGAATGCCCCGCCCCTAATTACAGAATTCTCCTTCTGTAATTTTATTTTTGAAATGTTGGCAAGTATGTAAGCCAATTCCTCCTTCATTTGTCTCTCACACGTCAACCCCCATACCCCTGACTTCCCCAGACTGCGGCTCCCTTTTCAGCAAAAAGCAGTGGGAAGGATTGGGTGTGGCCAGGTGCTGATTGACAGGCCATAGGCTTGTCAACCATCAGTAACAATGCTGATATCCACACTTCTTGCAAGATCTTTCCATCCCACTGTAGCATAAGGAGGCACAGCCTACATGAGAGTGGAAGCCCTGAATGCATTAGCAGTGCAGCATCTTTGTCACTACATCACAGGAGGCTGCATTGGGTGAACTTCACTAGCAGAATGGATTTATAATTAAATGCTGCAGCACATTTTGCCTTTTAAAGAAAAGCCATAGTTCTACTTTAGGCCTCATTCACAAGGGGCTCACAGGGGGCGTATACGTCCGTGTGGCGTACACGGCCGATCCCGGGAGGGACAGGTGCTGCATGTGATTGCGCGTAGCAGCCTGTTGTTCCTTATGGGAGGATGCAGCCGCACGCTGTCATATGCACATCTGAACTGCACATCCGAGCGGGTCCGGGTGTCCGCACTTGGACGCAGAGGCCCCTTTGTGAGCCCCATGTGAATGAAGCCTTAAATTAGCATTGTAAAGTTTAGCTATCTTCACAAATAAAGCTATGACACATCGGGGTAGATTTCTGCTCCCTGTCCTGCACTTGCATGCTTTTTGTTTAACATTTCATCACAACTGATAACAGTTTAACGTGGTAACCCTTGTTTATAGGATGCCTGTTACCGAATGTTCTAAGTGTATTCACTAACCATGGGGTCTCAACATTATTTCCCATGATGTATTCTACAACTGTGACTCAATGTAACTACTGTAGTGTTTCTTG